CCATTTCTATGAATCTAAATGAAGTACCATGTGCCCCTGTAACGGTCTTTAACAAACTATTGCATCTCACGGTCGGCAGTAATATTTGAATAGGCCGGGCACAGGGCCACTCAAGGAAGTCTACGCTGACAAAACATAGGAGAGAACCCCAGTATGCCAGTTGATTCTAGAAACGCCAAGTCATGCGCGGCATACGTAGACGGGCTGCTTAGTCCTACCACGACCCTGTCCGAGCGTCCTGCTTTCGCAAGGTGGAGGGTACAGCAGTAGGAATATAAGGCAAGCCGGGTTCACTATTTGAAAAGATGTAGCGCATGTATCACCGTGGCACCTCACCTGCCGGAAATGCGGTGGTCTCATCGCCTGAGCCAATGATTTACCTAGGAAAATTAACCTCCCTGCACTCGAACCGCCCGTCGGGACACAAAAGACGCCCGGTATGAGGTTTGGGGTCACAGAGCATTCCGCCTTGCAGCCAAACAAACGTAAACAGGGGGGGAAGGTTCTGGCCGGGCTCACAACCGATAAAACTCGCCCCTCTCCCCTCCCCCCTGTCCTGAACGATCTTTCTACAAAGTACCTACATATTTCGCATCTTTGCCAAGGGGCAGTGTGTATTTTCCCCGCGATCACGCGCCATTCTTCTGTGCAGCTCTTAATTCATGCAAGTTTCATCCGGCACTTCCTTATTGCATTGCAGCCCACGCATTACAACAAGCATGCACCTCAAATAAGACTTTTTCCCTGTTTTCATACTCCAGAACTCCATTTAGATTCTATAAAAAGACACTAACCACAAAAACTCTATCAGCCGGATTCCCGTATTCCAGGCTAGTTTTACGTGATAGATCAGAGGCGGGCAAACAAAACATGTTCTGAGCGAACGCGGCGGTGGAAGATGCTGACCAGGAAAGATTTGGAATGCTGCGCCTTCCGAACCATTTAAATTATCCGCAGTCGGAGTAAAAAGTTTACAAATATTTTTGTCTCTTAAATCAATCCTACATCAACTGCTGGGTTTAACGATCAATCATTTTGCACATTAACTGCTGTCCAAAGATAAGATGGCCCAACGATCCAACTGGCCTCCGAAGCACGACACGGAAATAGGACCACTCAGCCCAAGTAATAGAGGTTGTCCTGTGCGTGATTTTAGGGACGACAAATATATCCTTGTGTCCTAACCCTAACACTAGCCTAAACTGCAGCCTTAATCTTAACCATAATCATACAGATAACAATAACCCTAACCATAAACCCAACCCTATTTTCCCTGGGATTTGGCGGAAAGGCATCTGTATTGCGGGCGTTTCCAGCTTTATGCCCTTTTTAGAGAGTCATGCACGTAATCCTTACCGATCCCATTCGCAACTGACTCAAAAGCTTATGATCTGGCCACTTTTCCCACGGACTCGAGAATTTGTTCCTATAGGGTGATGTAAGGTCCATTTTTTGACCGCACTAGCAATCAAATTTGACGAGGAAAGTTGGAGGCGTATCCTGTAATTAAGGGAAGTCGTTGAATAGGGTAAGCTAGTTGGCGACATTAGGCAGGCTAGAATGACTAAAAATCTGCAAAATCCACTATAATCTGTAGAATACTGCTTGTCGAGACACAATCACAAATTAGCAGACACCGTTTTTCTTTTCTGTGGGAAAAATGTTCTCCTCATAGTTCGTTGCATTTGGTGAGTGGGGGAATAGTTCATCCTTGCGTCTTAATTGGGCCTAAAACCTTCACTGAGCGAAGTACCACAGACGACGCAAACATACGAAGCAGAAAGTGCCGGAGAAATAGAGCTGTCAATTTAACCAGGTCAAGAACACCGACGCCAGTCAGCGTGTCCGTGAGAGAGCGCACGCTGTGCGAACGTATGTCTGACTCATCCACCCTTCGGTCCAGCCACCTTCGCGCTTCGAAAAAGGAAGCTCGTCGGGAAAGCACACTAGACTTGAGGGCGGCATTGGAAAACTGTTAGGCCCCCCAATATGAATATCACCGATGCGACCGAGGAGAGCGCGAATGGGATGGGAGAAGGGGGTGGGGGGCTCACTTACCGCGAACTTGTTGCTCTAGACTGGTGATCAGGGATACGGCCTGCTGTAAGATTGTAAGTTTAGTCTGGGGACGTTCATTCTTCAGGTGAATCATGCACATGCGACCCAACTCCTTGAAGGCGTCGTTGATGTCTCGAACCCGAACACTGAACAGAGGAGGGCGAGAACCGGTCGGGAGAAGCAGGCAGGCAAGCGGAATGGAACATGCAAAAAAGAAGGAAGAAGACATGCATCTTTTAGAGGCTTTCAAATGCTCAACAAAATAAACGATCATGTACAAGATTACCTCGAACCTCGCGCTCGAGGCCACTTATAACGCTGACTGCTTGCTGTAAGATCATCAATTTGGTCAGGGGCTGCGAATTGCCGGTGTGCAAGTTAATCATGTGGCCCAGTTCCTTGAAAGCATCGTTGATTTCGCGCACCCGAAGGCTACAACCGACAGGATGCGGTGTGAGACAAGACGCCACAAGAACGGCGACGACGGCGTGAACGAAAGGGTGGTGGCATAGGACCGCACGTCTGAGATAAAATCGATAAAGCCTCGCAGCTACAGTGTGAGAACTTTAAGGGGTCGATGCTACTGTAGCAAGGACGCACGGCGGGAAAATCGATAAAAACGCGTTTCCCAGGCAAAACAAAGTACCGTGGTTTGGGGGCAGCGTGCAGGCCTGGAGAAAGAGAAGTACGCTTCGCCGCAAAATGTGTCCCTACATTTAGTGTGGGATACAAATTATAGATTGAAGTAATCCCGTCGTGCGAAGCCCCCCAGAGCTACGGGCAACGGTACTTCGCCGGATCAGATGGTAGAAAATTTTTTTTGTAACTTAACTGATGGGTTTGAAAGTACTTTGAACGGTGAGTCCAAACTTGCCTCGATCACACCAAAATCAATGTAAAGAGGTC